GTGTTCAAGGCCAGGTTGGACACAGGGGCTTGGAGCAACCTGCTCTAGTGGAAGGTGTCCGTGCCCGTGGCAGGGGGTTGGAACTCGATGAGCTTTAAGGTCCCTTCCAACCCAAACTGTTCCATGATTTTGTGATATCCATGGACAGAAGTACCTGTGTTTTTCTTACCTTATTTAAAACTGCTATTCCACAACTGAAATAAAAAAGAAAGCATGTTACTGGGGTGAGGGGGTGTGGGGGCCTGCAGCAGTCAGTGGCTTTGGGCACCAGCTGCTCCCAAGCACAGTGTTGGTATTTGCACAGCGAAAGCTTGTGCTGAGGTTAAACACATTTGGATGTTGGAAGCTGCTGCCCTGCAGGTACCTTACCCAGGCTGGGGAGGGAGGGGAGGGCTGGCTTACTCTGTCTGCTGGCTCGAGTCTTTTGCTCCTGCCCTTGGGTTTGTAAGGGTCTGGGTTCCTGTGAAAGCGAAGTGAGAGGATGTGAATGATCCCACCCCCACCTGAGGGGCTGTGAAGTTCTATCTGGATGTCCATCTCAGATGGCATTGCTTCTACAATGGAGAACAGCTGTTTGAACAGCATCCAGTAACACAACTAAATAGGAGCAAAAGGAGAGTCCTGCTCAGATGGATGGAGAAGTGGAAGTGAAGTGATCCTGCAGACTGAAGTTATCCCCCAGACCCCTGGATACTCTGGGGCACTCACAGGGAAGCCGTAGGGCACTGGTGGTTGAGCTGTGGGCTGGTTTATCCTTCTGCAGGAAGAATATTCCTGCAGGGAAACTCAGATTGGAATGGTAAAACCTTGTGCAGGAGTGGGGCTGCTGCCAGGGGAACTTGGGTTAGAGAGGAGCATCCCAAATCACTTAATGGAGATGGAGATGTGGGAGGGAAATGCAAGCACCCCTCACCTACCTTGGGTGTTCACACCTCGCCTGGGGATGGCTTCTGCTGAAGTGCTGAGGGGGATGCTGAGGCTGAGCTGGGAGAGCACAGGGCGGGACGTGGGGCAGCTCCATAGGTGCTGGAATGAGAGAGCAGCTCGAGTCAGCATCTCTGCAAAATGGGCTGTGAGGAATGGAGGGGAAGGAGCTGTGGCCAGGTCAGCGTTTGTATCTGTGGTGACTGGGTGAAGAGCATCAAGGAGATGTCAAGAAGCCATGGCAAATCATAAGGATCTGCTCCTTTGGCTGCAGCAGCTCCAGAGCTCTGTAAGGAAGTGGGAGAAAACCTGCTGGTTTAGTGACCTAAATGGCAGCAGGAGGCAGGTAATTGCTCTGCGCTCTCCAGTGCTGCAAAGGCAGCTTGAGGCCGTGTCTGTGTAAGTCATCTTGTGTTCCACTGCCTCTGCTCCCAGGGTTTTGTGAGGCCCCTAAGAGGAACTCACAGCCTGCCAGGGGAATTGTTCATTTTGCATGGCTTATAAGTTTAGAAGGAAATCTGGTTTGGCTCCTAGATCGGGGTGTTTTGCTTTGCCTTTTTCTATAGATGTTACTCAGGCAGTGAGCCCTCTGGGTCATTGTTAGCTGTGCAGCACAGGGTAGATAACGAGTACCAGGAATCTCATTCCCGCGTCCTTCCTGCTAACTGTGAAGGTGCTGGAGGGAAGCTGGGTGTTAAGACCTCAGTTTTCAAGCCTAAAAGTAATTTGTGTAAGTGCAAAGCTATAGTCTGGCAGGCAGGAGGTGGGGTTGTGCTGGGAGGAATGGCAGAACACCTCTGTCTGGTTCAGGGTGTGGAGAACAAGAGAGCAGCATGTGGGAGGGAGGTGACAGCATTTATCCATGCTCAACTCTGCAGCTTGTTGGGAAATGCACATTTTGGTCTGTGCCTTCCCACTGTTAGGATGTGCTCTGATCTGTGGGTGCTCTAGTGCATGCTACCCGGAGCAGGCAGAGCACTGAGCTGCGTTACCTGGAGCAGGACGGGTGGTCTCAGCTCCAACCGCGCAGAGAGATCCAGGGGGACGCGTGCTTTGGGATTCTGTCCCAGCGGCGTCCTTCCATCATGACCTTCCAGGTTCCTCCTCCTCAGGAACTCCCTTTGCCGGGGGCTCTGAGGTGGAGCCGGGGTCCTCCTCCTGAGGTGGCGGCACGTTGTCACGTTGTGCCGCTGCCGCAGGCTCTCCCCCGGCTCGTGCGCCCCCTCGCACCTCGTGCCTGCACCGCAGCCGTGGCTTCTGGGGCTGGTTGATCATGTCTGTGACCACTCCGGGGTCCTCTGTCCTGCTTAAACCAAGGGAAAAGACACAGTTTGAGTGGAAACTGATTATTCCTAAGATTAAATGCATGTGAAGTAACAGATGCTCATCCTGGAATCCTCGTGCAGTGGGTGCAGGAGAAGTTCCTGGAGAAATCTGTTGCCTGTGAACTTGGATGCATTGGCTGTGTAACATGTGGTGCTGTTCTTGCCCCTCTGTTGGGTGGGTGCTGACCTGGGGGATGCTAGGAACAGGATTTCAAATGCAGCCTCAGAAAGTTGGCCTCACTACCAAGTAATGATGCTTCCTCTGGGCAAATTTATTTCCTGATAAAATCCCTCTGTTAAACAAACTGATTCTTTTGGGTATGCTGTTATAGCTCTTGAGCTAACCTAAAGAAAATAGTGAAAACACAGGAAGAGTGATAGAATTGTATCACAGAATGGTTTGTGTTGGAAGGGACCTTAAAGCTCATCCAGTTCCAACACCCTGCCACGGGCAGGGACACCTTCCACTAGAGCAGGTTGCTCCAAGCCCCTGTGTCCAACCTGGCCTTGAACACTGCCGGGGATGGGGCAGCCACAGCTTCTCTGGGCACCCTGTGCCAGCGCCTCAGCACCCTCCCAGGGAAGAGCTGCTGCCTCAGAGCTCATCTTAATCTCCCCTCTGGCAGGTTAAAGCCGTTCCTCTTGTCCTGTCCAAAGCCCCTCTCCAGATTTCTTGTTGCCCCTTTAGGCACTGGAACTGCTCTAAGGTCTCTCTGGTGCCTTCTCTTCTCCAGGCTTGTTCAGCCTGTTGTTGTTGATACCTGCTATTTCTGCTCTAAACTTCTCATGAGTGTGCATTTCTTTTGCCAGCTCTTTTTGTAATAGATCCAGACACAGGAGCTGTGGTGTGACTTACTCTTCAAGAAGCTGCATTGTATTTCTTAGCGGTTTGCTTCAGGAATGCATTCTGCCTCTATTTCTGGGGACTTTGTGGCCTGAAGGCGGAGCTCCACCATTCCAGCTCTGTTGCAACCATCTACGTGTGCAAGCAGTGTGTAGACATGAAACCTCCTCCCTCTTGCTGCTTTCTCTGCACAGTTGCAAGCCACCGGTGCATTGTGTTTTACTGGACTTCGGTCATACTGAGCTGAGCAATAACTACCCACAACTGCTCCTCTTCCTTCCTCCCCTCGAGCAAAAGCTGTGTCCCACTCTCCTGTCCCCTCACCCCATCAGCAAAGAGGCTCATCATCCCTGTGCACATCCCATGTACAGAGGGTGCCCAGCCCCAGGGGCTCATCCTGGGAGCTGCTGTGACCGAGTCTGGGGCTTCTCTTGTATTTAGCAAATCACATTAATGTAGGAAGGAGGGGAAAAAAACAGTTTAGTTTCTGAAAACTCAAGTCAAATGTTGTTCAGTGTCAAAACAAAACCACCAAAACTTCATTGGTGTCACTCTGTCTCAAGCAATAAGGAAGTAGTTGAGTCTAATGGGGGAAAAAATGGGAACAAGTAAGCCCTATTTAGATGTATAATACTTCTGTGCCTTTTAGTCTGCATAAAACCTGCTCCATAATTCCTTTTACGGTCCTTGTGCTAACTGTGGTGTACTCAAAGCTGCTGACCAGTGCCACCTATTCACTGTGGGTACTTCCAGTGGAAGGACAGTGGTGCTGTTGGGGTGGTCAGCTCTTGCTCTGGGCTAGGAAGGTGTCTGCAACCCCCCCATCCAGGACACTGCTCCCAGGGCTGAGCCTGGGCGCTCATCTCAATCTCCCCTCTGGCAGGTTAAAGCCATTCCCCTTGTCCTGTCCCTACATCCCTTGTCCAAAGCCCCTCTCCAGGTTTCCTGGAGCCCCTTTAGGCACTGGAGCTGCTCTAAGGTGTCCCCTTCAGGAGCCTTCTCTTCTCCAGGCTGAGCCAGCCCAGCTCTTTCAAAGGCCAAAAGCAGGTACAAAAGGCTGAGCAGGTTGTTCCCATGCAGCTTTCCTGTCCTTATCACATCATTCCCACTGTGCTCACCTCTGTGCCTTTCCTCATGGTGCACATATGCTTTCCCTGGCTCAGCAGGCAAGGTGAGGTCTGGCAACAGCTTCACAAAGAAGTCCAGGTTGGGTGTATGCCAGCACCCTGCGATGTGCTCCCTCAAAGCTGGGCTTGAACCCCAAAGTGGGGGACAAAGCCTGTATCTACAGCCAAAACTGCTCCCAACTCTTCAGGACACTTTAAAAGAATTTTTCAACTAATATTTCTTAATTTTTAGAAGTGGCCCAATTGCATGTTCAATCCGGACTGTGGATGTCCTCCTCGGTCCCTGCTCGTCCAGCTCTTCCCATCAGGAATAGCTCAGCCCCTCTCCCACCTGCATAGCCCCTGGGCTGCTGAGCCTGGCACAGCACATCCCAAGAGCAGCTCTTGTAATAGCCTCAGTGAACCAAAAATGCTCTTTAAAGCCAGGTAAAGCTTACAGAAACGCACAGTTCATTACTCACCTCAAGCTGAGCAAACAGTTGAGGCCTTCTTGACAAGCTAATACTCTTATTTCCTCCTTCTGCTACCCCAAAATAGCCTCAAACACATCCTTTATCTTTGCTTTCCAAGCTGTTACTCTTCTTGCTTCAAGGCAAACAAAAAAAACCCACCCAATAAAAGAGTGCTTCTTGCTGGTTCATGTTGCAGCCTCTGGTGTCAATCACGTAGGCTGAAAGTGGGGAAAAAAGAAGGGAAAAAAAGGTACATGCCGCTGCCTTTAGCACAGCACTTTCTGCTCCCCTCCATCCCTCACCACCCTGGTACTGTGGGCACTTACCTGGCCCAAAGGTCCTGTCCTACCCCTCGACAGCCACGGCAGAGCGGGGTGTTATCAGGCACGAGCACGCTCCAACTGTCATCTCTGTGCCAACCACCCTGTTCTGCTGCTCTCTGCTCTAAAACAGGAAACGCTGCAGCTGAGCCCCGGTTCCTGTCTCTGCTCACAGCCCGGCTGTGGGGCGCAGGGGCCTGGCTTGTGGAGGGATTTGGGTTCTCTTGGGACCCTGATGTCCCCAGCTTCTCTCTAAGCAGAACTAGCAATAATCTTTTGGGCCATCTCCTTGCCGTGGTCTCCAACAGGCTGCGATTGGGTGGTGGATCACGGAGCTACTTGTGGCATTTGGTGACTGAGTCTCCCCAAGCTGCTTTAGGGTAGAGAAATCCAGACTTGGGGAAGTACAGTAATGCTGTTATTGTAAGGCTTCTTGCAGGTTGGAAAGGAAAAAGAGTGTGTATGGGCAGCTGAGGAGAGGTCACCAATGGCCAGAAATTCATTAAGGTCTTTAGAGAAGTGAAAACTGTGTTAGTGCAAATCATGCAGGGAGGTGGGTTTAACCAGCTGGGTGCTGATAAGGGCTCTGTGCATGTGGAAAAGGAACACAAGTAAAAGCAGAGATCTTGTAACACAGGATTTATTTTTACAAAGACCAGCCTGGAAGGGATAGAAGGCAAAAACTACCTGCTTCAAAGAGCCTCTCATGGCTTTGGGTGATTTGTGCTGCTCATTCTGGCCGTGGCTCAGCACCACTGCCTTTGTGGCTCTTGGTGTGGGAAGGTTGAGCAGGAAACCTGCTGGTGAGCAGGATGCTGGCAGCATCTTGGTTGGAAAAAAGACAAAAGTTCACTACTAAAAGGGATGTTTTCATGCTGTGTCTTACTGACTCCTGGTGCATCCTAAGCAAGCAGGCTGAGAGAACTGGGGTTGTTCAGCCTGGAGAAGAGAAGCTCCCTAAGGGAGACCTTAGAGCAGCTTCCAGTGCCTAAAGGGACTGACAAGAAAGCTGGAGGGGGGCTTTTGACAGGGCCTGTAGGGACAGGACAAGGGAAGCAATAGTTTCATACTGAAGGAGAGTAGATTTAGATGAGATCTGAGGCAGTTCTTCCCTGTGAGGGTGCTGAGGCGCTGGCACAGGGTGCCCAGAGAAGCTGTGGCTGCCCCATCCCTGGCAGTGTTCAAGGCCAGGTTGAACACAGGGCCTTGGAGCAACCTGCTCTAGTGGAAGGTGTCCCTGCCTGTGGCATGTGGGGTTGGAACTGGATGAGCTTTAAGGTCCCTTCAACCCAAACCAGTCTGTGATTCGATGATACTGTCTTAGGTTGCCGGGGTGCCTCATCATGGGGCTGCCCTGGTGGCATGGAAAGGGGCACTCAAGTAGCCAGATTAACACCCAAACCCCTCACGTCTGGCCCGAGGTGTCCTGGCATGCTCCCCACCCTGGGGGCTATGTTCTTCTGATGTTTTCCAGCTTATAGTTGTTCCTGATGAGGGAGTCGAGGAAGTCGGGGGCTATGGCGTGGAGGAGAAGCAGGTTGCTCACCAGCCGGGGTGGGTAGTACAGCTCCCGCTGGCGCAGCGCCCCGCTCTTGATGATCTCCAGTGCACACTCCTCCTTCGGCGCTGGCGTGTCCCACACGGCATGTGAGACCGCTCGCACCGCGCTGTCTGGAGGGACGGGAGCAGTGTCAGATGGAGGGGCTGCCATGGGCACTCGCTTCCTCCAATAAACCAGCAAACTCTGAGCATCAGAACTACTTAGAGTAGTTAAAACTAATTACAGCGCTGGTCTTCCCACTCCTTTACACCTCTTAAGTGACCACAGGATGGAAGCCCCACCTCCCCTGGGCGTACTGCAAGGACAGCAGGGTCAAAGCTCTCAGGCCATGCTTTTAGGAGGTGGAAAATTCCTGTTTCCATGATTGCACAGCCCCTGCAGCCTGGGTTCCAGCAGTGGTGGTTGAGCAGCCTGGGGCTGGAGGGTGGGTTGTGGGCTTGACTTGGCTCTGCCTGGAAACACATCATCATGGGGACCCAGTGATGCAGAGCTTACCTGTGTCAATGTAGCCCAGGACGCAGAGCGTGATGGAGACATTGACCTTTTCTATGATGAATTCGTGTCTCAGGGAGCTGAAAAATCCCTCCAAGGCAAACTTAGTTGCAGAATAGGGAGCAATAAATGGGGTGCCAATTCTACCTGGAACAGAGACGCATTGGGGTTTGTGTAGCGGGCAGACCAGGCTGCGTGGCTCTCCCTTCCTCTTGCCCTTCAAGTAGCTACAATATTGTGATTTAGGGAGTTGGAATTTGCTGCCATGAATGCTTGAGAGAAATAAACAAATGCAGGAATGTTTAAATGTTACATATGGCATGAAGTACCTTCGGTTGTGGGCGATACTGTTCTTGTTTTCCTGCATATATCCCCATGTGTAGTATGTGGCCATGCAGTGGTGTATCATCGACTTCAATGCATGAAGGTGATTAGTGGGTGCAAAGAGACTTTCACAACAGGGCATGGAATGTAAGTCCCCCAGAGGACTCAAACTGTGCATCCAGGATAAATCCTGTGCTGATCCTGACTCCCAGTGGCATGTGCCTTTCTACCATATGGTCCTTATTCTGTCTGTTGAAAAGGAGCTACAGCAGGCATCCCTTGCAGGCAGAGGAAGGGATGTGGGCAGCGAGAGCCTGGCCCCTTGTGTGCTCACCTGCCATGGATGAAATGACAGTGATGCTGCCATCGCTCTCCTTCAGCATGGGAAGGGCAGACACGGTCATTGCCACATAGCTGACGAAGTTGGTCTCCAGGAGCTTTCGGACATGCTCAACATCCCCATTGAAGTAGTTGAAGTGGCTGAAACCAATGTGATTTAGGATGAGCATATCAAGGCCACCTGGAAGCAGAGTGTGTTTGCTGTTAGGAACCAGCATCTCAAAACAAACCAGCTTTTTGGTGGCCAGAATGGCCACAATGCACCTACCCCAGGTGTTCTCAGCCTCCTTCACCACCACATCGGGGAATGTGGTGTCCTCCATAGAGCCGCTCACATAGCGGGCAGATGCGGCGCCCAGCTCCAGGCACCGCTCCACTACCTGCAGTGACAGTGAGAACAGTGGTGGCAATGGAATCCCTCCCGCAGACCCCCCATCCCACTGGCAATGGACTCCCCTACAAGGACCAACTTCATCCTGTGAAGGCTGTTCTGTCTTGGGGCAGATGAGCAGCCATCAGGCCCTGTCCCACTGGAATCCCTTCTCCCTTCATGGGAGGAGACACATTGCTCAGAGAAATGTTTTTGGCTTCAGAGTTAAACAATAGCACATCTCAGCCAAATGTATCCCTATTTATAGATACTAAATAATTGCTCAACTTTCATTTGTTGAATACAGGATGCAAAACCAGTTCAGACTTTGAGAAGGGGCAAGGGTTGGTCAGACTAGGGCTTGGCCAAACTAGTATTATCCTTGGTGGTGGTGACCACAATTCACAGCTGAAGACTGCAGAGAAAGAAATGCTGTGCTGTCAGCATTGAACAGACAATTTGTTATGGTAGAGGTGTACGTTAGAAGAGGTTCATGCTGGGGAGACAGTGGACTGGATCTGTGGGCTGTGTGGCATCCCCACATGCATGGGATAGGGTGAATATCCCCATTCTGTCTGCCCGTGGGGTTCAGGGTTGTCAATGGGGTTTGCCAGCCCCGCATGCTCTGCTTGCCATTTACTTTCTGCAGCTTGGCCTCCGTGCGCGCCGTGAGCAGGAGGTGGGTCTCCATGCGTGCGAGGTGATACGCCATCTGCTCCCCGATGCCACTGCTGGCGCCGGTCACGATCACCCGCTTCCCCCGCAGCATCTCTGGAGAGGAGGATGCAGAGCTCGGAGCTGGCACAGCCTAACTGTCCCTCCCACCCCCTCAGCACGCAGACCCTGGTTCTTAATCCCAGTTTGGTGGGGAGCACGTGTGGGGCTTGAGCTCTGCATCCAGCCTGGGAGGGGCTTCTGGACATGGTGAGGGTTGATGAAGAGAGTGGGAAACTCCATGTTTCCTAAGTAAATGCTTCACTGAGATCAGGCTGTTGTTGTGGTTTAAGCCCAGCCCAGGAAACTCAGCACCATGCAGCCATTTGCACACCTCTCCCCTCTCTGGGCAGGATGGGGAGGAGAATCGTAAGAATGTAAACCCCATGGGCTGCAATAAGAAGAGTTTAATAACTAAAGTATAATACACTACTACTACTACTAAAGGAAATAACAAGAGGAGAGAATATAAAACTAAAAGGGTGAAAGGAAAAAAACCCCACGTGATGCACAATACAGTTGCTCAGCATCGATGATCATTGCCCAGCCTGTTCTGAGCAGCAATCAGTTTCTTCTGGGTATCTCTCCCCCTACCCAGTTTCTATACTGGACATGATGTGCTGATAGGGAATATCCCTTTGGCTAGTTCAGGTCCAGTGTCCTGGCTGCTCCTTTTCAGCTTTTTGTGCCATTCCTCACTGGCAGAGCACATGACACTGAAAAGTCCTTGATCAAAGTAAGCAGTACTGAGCAACAACTAAAACATTGGTGTGTTATCAGCACTGTTCGCAGACTAAAGCCGAAACACAGCACTGCACCAGCTACTAGGGAGGAGAAAAATAACTGTTAGAGCTGAAACCAGAATCATAGAATAGTTCAGGTTGGGAAGTACCTTAAAATCATTTAGTTCCACCACCCCGCCATGGGCAGAGGTGTCTCACACTAGACCATGTCCCCCAAGCCTCTGTCTGACATGGCCAAGGATGGAGCATTTACCGACAGCTGTGCATCCCAGCAGGCCCACTTGTAATTCCATGAGCTTTCCTGTGCAGTGCAGGGTGCTCTGGCCCCTTGCAACCAGAGTTACTGTGCCCCTTTCCCAGCCCTCAGGCCTCCCGTGCTTCAGCTTTTCCATATGCGCTTTGAAACGCCCTCCCAACAGCCTGTGCTCTTCCGTGTGGGCACATGCTGCTGCCCTGGCCGCAGCCTCGCTGCTTGCGGTTTTAAATGTGATTTTTTTCCAATGGCTTACCTTCATTGAAGTTCTCGGGTGCTGAATAAAAGTAATAGGCCAGCGCCAGTCCCAGCAGAGGGATAAAAATCTTCAAGATCAGACCCATCCCTCCGCAGGAGCAGGACGATCTCCAGGGCTCTGCCTGCAGGGAGCTGGATGCGTCAGGAGGTTGCAAACGGGGCGGGGAGTGATGGCAGCGTTGAACTGGTTCTGACCTTGCACATGTTTGCTGGTATCTCCTGGGCCCTCCTTCTTGCTTCCAATGATTCAGCAAATATTAACCTAATGAAAAGTGTCGCTTTGGACTTTAGGCTGTCCTTTTGCACCCTTGTCCTTCCAGGAATCACAGAATAGTTCGTGTTGGAAGGGACCTTGAAGCTCATCCAGTTCCAGCCCCTGCGACAGGCAGGGACACCTTCCACTAGGGCAGGTTGCTCCAAGCCCCTGTGTCCAGCCTGGCCTTAAACACTGCCAGGGATGGGGCAGCCACAGCTTCTCTGGGCACCCTGTGCCAGCGCCTCAGCACCCTCACAGGGAAGAGCTTCTGCCTCAGAGCTCATCTCAACCTTCCCTCTGGCAGGTTCAAGCCATTCCCCTTGTCCTGTCCCTCCATCCCTTGTCCAAAGCCCCTCTCCAGGTTTCCTGGAGCCCCTTTAGGCACTGGAGCTGCTCTAAGGCCTCCCCTTCAGGAGCCTTCTCTTCTTCAGCTGCCCCAGCCCAGCTCTCTCAGCCTGGCTCCAGAGCAGAGCTGCTCCAGCCCTCGCAGCAGCTCCGTGGCCTCCTCTGGACTCACTGCAACCCAAACTTTTAAAGGGCAAAATCCACTCTGCGTGTGCTGGTTTGTGTAGGTGATCACAGGATAAGAACAGTAACTCTGGTTCCTGATTTTGTCTGAGAAAGTAAGAAGCAAACTGATCCTGGGGAGTGCTTCAGTGGGAAGTTTGAGAAGGCTGCGTAGTGCTTTATCTCAGGGCAGGTAATGACTGGTGCTTGAATGGCTAGAACCATTCAAGAAGTAAATGCATCAGCTTGGGCGCTGCTGCCAGTGCCCAGGAAGTGGTGTAGAGCCTGCTGCCAGCTTGGGCTGTGGTTTTGCATTCCATGTGCATCATTCCTAGTGCCTGAACTCTCAGCCTGGGATGTCAACACGGCAGCTCCATGCATCCAGAAGGCATCTTCCAGTTATAATGTTTGTGTACTAATCTACCAAGTTTGGAAAGTTTTGTTTGGGGTAACAACTTGCATTTAATTTGACTGTAAGGCCAGCAAAAAATAGGCTAAAAGGTAGTTATTCCTAAAATGAAGCAATGAGGGATTATTACAAGGATTCTGCTTCCCTGTGGGAGGCGAGTCAGGGGCATCATGGTGGAGAAAAAGGGATAAACCCCGCAACGAACGCACAGTTGGGTTAGAGACGTTTATTTCATAATTAGTTTGTTCCCATGT